GGGTAATACTGTATGCTGGCGGACCGGCGGGGACATAGCTGCAATCAAGAGGCCACTCGCCCTGCCAGCGACCGCCGAGCTGTTTGGGTTCTTTGGGATCCTCCGAGACTTTACGCAACGCATCTCACTTGTTTCATTAATGAGGCGGAAAGAAAGAAAGAAAGAAAGAAAAAGCGGCAAGCCACTCAATTTATAGCTACAATCAAGAGACGACTGGCAAACGCGCTGGGCCGCTGGCCTATGGAATGAACCTGCGATGAAGAGAGGTTGGAGTGGTGCCCATGGGAGTTATAAAATCTTCCATTTAGCGGGTCCTTAGTAGCCGAAGGACGCAAAAACAGCAATCAAGGACAGTCGCCAGTATTTCCTTTTCTTTTTTTTTTCTTTTTTTTTTCTTTTTTTTTTCTTTTTCTCTTTCTTTTTTTCATGTGTAAGGACTGTGCAGGAGGGAATAAGGCACCAGCAGGTTGGTCATTCGCCTGTAATATACGATGGTCGAAGAATCTGATGTGGTGTGACATTTTCCGGCATGATTCTGGTGTCATGAATGGATTGATGAACAACGCCGCAGTGGCGCTGCAGCCCTGGCAACGAAGGAAAGAGGAGAGACGAGGAGAGCGCTCCGCGCCTGCACTCCTTTCACAGACTCCGAGTCTGAGTTGGCTGGCCCTGTTCCCTCAGCATCACTTTCTCCGTTGGCATCAGGGACGTCGACTCGTCAGCAGCCTCATCATCCCTCTCGATTTCAGTTTGGCCATTCACCATTCGCTTCCTCTCATCGTCTCCCATCCGTTCGTCTTTCACCCACCACCTTCCACCACATCTTTTTGCTCCTCCTCCTCCTCTCAAAGACTGCTGCACTCTGGTTACAACACTCCCTCATCCTGTTACACAGTCTGCTTGGCGAGTAGAGGAGGTTGTGTGGCCACTGGCCCCAACTACACCACAAGAAAAGGATGGTGGGCATGTTTACTGCATACGAGCTGCAGTCGGCGTGAGGCCCTCCCTGTGCGGCCTCGCCTACACCACAAGAAACGCATGCATTGGTGGGCATGTTGACTGCATAAGAGCTGGAAGTGAGACCAGGTGCCTGGTCCCACACGTCCTAATTTGGACCGAAGAAGAACACGCGAACATGCATATACTTTTACAGCAAGAGTCCGGTCTACGGTGGCATGGCTGCCATACATGGAGGCTTAAAAAACAAAGAAAAAGAAGGGACCGGTGTAGTTCTCCTCGCTCCCACTATCTGCCTGCATTCCCACCCCTCTGAGAAAATACCCCAGCCTGGCCATTCCCTGACCCCTCCTGTCCCTGCAAGGCTGCAACCCCCTCCCTTCCCATAACCCATCCGTCCCAGTGTCCCTGCAACCTGATTTTCTGACATGATTACCCCCCCTGCAGGATGATCATCTGAAACACTCATTTCGATCACCCCGCCTGCATGTTTGCACCACTTAACCAACCAGTACTTCATAAAGCCGTGCGCGTTAACAAGCCACAATTTTTGGAAACGTACGGGCCACAGCAGGAGCGCCGAAATTCATCCGACTAGAAACGCTACTACTCTAGTTTTTTTTCCTGGGGCCAATAGATGGGCCGAGTCCTGGCCGAGTACTGGTGGTTTAAGCATAGATTCATGAAGTCGTAGATGTGCAGAATCTCTCTCTGCAGATTTTGCACTCACAGGATGGCCCAACAAAGGCACCAGTTCTCTTTTTTTTTTTTTTTTTTTTTTTTTTGGGAATCAGGTGCGTATGGCCCTGGCTCCGTAATAGTCCGTAATATCCATTAGCTTAGATCTTCAGAAGCTTAGAACATGAAAATTGCCATGGATGATAAGACGATATAACTGCGTTTTGAAATAATATTTTTTTTAATTATTTTTATGATTTTGTCAATGGAGCACAAAGCAATCAAATTGAATCGATTGATTGAGTATCCCACACGGCGGCATCACGAACGTTCCCTTAGGGGTTAGGGCACATTTCATGGCACTTCAGCTGTGAACTAGTGAATTTACAAAGCACTGCAAGCAGTGCTAAATTTAGTACGCGCAGACTCTAATCGCTGATTGTGGATTATGAACATTCTCTAGCAGCTGCTATGGAGCTGGTACAACAGCCCTCATTTTTTTTCTCTTTTTTTCTTTTTTACGCTGGAACTACACCCCTAAAATTCAATCCCCTAAACCATAAAAGTTTTTTCCTCCCTCCCCTTCTCCCCCCCCCACCCCCCACCCCCACCCCCCACACACACACACAAAAAAAAAAAAAAAAAAACATAAATTCTAATCCCTGAGCCAAAAAAAAAAAAAAAAAAAACTTTTTTGCTTCCCATAAAAGGTTTTCCGAATGGGAATCTTATAATTCCTTCACGATTGATTCCTCGCCGTCGCCATCTTCCTCATGTGAGTCCTCCCACACTTCATCGTCAAGGGACTGCCTGTTCTGTCGCCGCGACACCCTCCTGTGCTTTTTCAGCACAAGCTTCGGCTCCGCATGCCTCAGGCCATCGGTGCCCGTCTTGTATCTTAAGTCCATTTTAAATTATGATCCAGAAAAACAAAGCATAACACAGCAAACCAAGACATGACCACATTCGTCAATAAATAACGACACAGAATTATTCCAGAAACACAGAAATCTACCCATCGGAAGAGCAGCTAGTTACTATCATTTCTCTTACCGTAACGGAAATGAGATGAAAATTTTCGGGAATGTACAAGCACAAATGATTGGAAATGATTGAAAAAGCACCGGACTCCGCTGCACACAGGAAACAGTTCACTGCGGTGAAACCCAGAAGTAGACTATCCTACCTTAAGTCATGAAAAAAATCTCTGTTAACTTCGCACACATGGAAAAGATGACCGAGTCGTTACAAAAACAGATGTGGCTACCTCCAATCTCATACTGTGAATCCCCCCCCCACCCAAACCTCTCTCTCTCTCTCTCTCTCTCTCTCTCTCTCTCTCTCTCTCTCTCTCTCTCTCTCTCTCAGAGAAGGGGGGGGGGGGGGGGGGGATTATGTTTGGGGGGTCACACCATGTCACTTGGGTTGTACTATGTACGCTGAGTGGTACTGTGTGGGCTAGGTGGTACTATGTGGGCTCGGTGGTATGATGTGGGCTGGGTGTTTTTACCATCTGGAGTGGGTACTTCGGGGGAAACACACACACACACACACACACACACACACACACACACACACACACACACACACACGTGTGAAAAAGCATAGAAGAAAAAGACGACGATGTGGCACCATGTGACGGGGGTAGCCTGGGCGATACTGTGTGGACTGGGCGGTACCATGCGCATGGGGCAGCATAGCTGCAAGGTATGCCTGTTCTGTCCTACCATGTGGCTGGATTGGACTCAGTGGCATTCTGTGGGCCACTCCCATGGACTCAGTGCATGGGAGTGGCACTATGGGGGTTAAGTGGTGCTGTTTGGACTCAGTGGCATTATGTGGGCCAGCTGATACTAACTGGACTGGGCTGCAATTTGGAATAACGTGCGAATTCAATTTGGTGCAATGAACTCAGTTGAGTCAGACTAAGTTCACATCTGCACAAACATAAGCCAGGGTCGTAACTTTGGGTCCAAGTCGAGCTTCAGGGGTCAAGACTCAAAAGTCCTGTCTCGACCTCTAAGAGGGGTCTGAGAAATGTCCTAGGGTCAAGGGGTCTATATAGGGTCCAGACTCCAGAGTCAACCTGTGCCCCTACGTGAGGCAGCTGACTCTCGGAGAACCAAGAGTAGTCAAGCCCAGCTCGGGAAAAACAGACCACGTGTCAAAGATTTCTCAGCAGTCAACGAAGGCCATAGATCAGATGCACAATCAAAGGCTGGCTGCATTTGTTAGAGAAGATTCCAGGGCCTGATTGGTCCAGGCACAATGAGGCCGACAGCAAATCTGCGGCAAACAGATCAAGAAATCAGGCTTCGACTGATTGCTTGCAACGGGTTTCATGTTCTCTCTTCCACTCCCTTTCTCAGGGTTCTTTTCACCTTTCCCTCACGGTACTTGTACACCACAGGTCACTGAGAAATACTTGCAAGTTTGGCTTAGTCGGTGGTCCCCACAGAATTCAAACACGGAAACAAGAGAACCTTTGGACCGAATATACAGGGCTAGCCGTCGGAGGTGACAAGCTGAGGCAAGTCAAGACAGATCAACACTACGGAAGAGAGGTCAGCCCCCCAGTAGCTCATCTGTTCAGCCTCATGCCGCTCCAGCTCGTGGCTACAGTGTCACGCTTGAGTGACGGGATACAGTGCCGCGCTATAGCTCGTCACAGTAGCGTAACACAGTAGCAAGCTACACTGCCGCGCTACAGTGAGAGTGACATAGCTCGTCACGCTATAGCTCGTCACTCTCACTGTAGCGTGACATAGTGCCGGGCCACAGTGACGCGCTATAGGGTCGTGCGTCAGCGACGTGCTAAAGTGAGTGTGAGAGGAGGCAGCGAGGAGGGGAGAACCGCCACAGCATGTAGAGTGGAGAGAGAGTGAGGAAGAGAGGGATCAGGACGGGACTGTGAAGCGCAAGCACGGGAAGCTTACCTTGGCCTAGCTAACCCTGCCAGCCATTGTCCAGATCCCATCCTACCCCTGTAATTACTACAACTATTTATAGTAAGTTTTATACTGTTCTAACTTCTATCCCTGCCAGCACACAGAGGCATTATAGCCCAAGGACAGAGTTAGAACACGGACAGGGATAGAAGTTAGAACAGTATAAAAATTACTATAAATAGTTGATTCCCTGCCAGCACTCTAGGCCATTGTTGATTCCCGAGTCTGTGTCCGTGTTCTAACTCGGTTGACCACTTGCCCGATCAGGTCAAAAAAAAGAAGAAAAATATTAAAAATATTAAAAAATATATATTGTAATGACCCGCCAAAGCACGGACTGAGAACACACTCAGTCTGCTGATTTCTGAGTTTTGCCGCCGGAATGGATGCCTTGTTGAGATTCCCGCTTTCTGCTGAGTTTTTAAGTCTGTGTGTGTGTGTGTGTGTGTGTGTGTGTGTGTGTGTGTGTGTGTGTGTGTGTGTGTGTGTGCATGCTTGGTGACCTGCGTGCCTGTCTGAGTGCTTGTCGGCCTGAGTGTGTGTGTGACCCGCAACGGTACTTGCCTGTTTGGGAGACCCGTAGGGCCGGTACTTACCTGTGGCCGTGACGTTGAGGGTTGCAGCAGGGGAAAACACTCAAAGTGGAGGGGAAAGAGGCCCGCGACACTTAGAGCAGCGGAAAAACACTCAAGTAGCAGGTAGGCCGGTACCACACCAAGCGGAAGTAGATGTACCGGGTGTTTGAGGTGCTTGAGGATGTCATTAAGCAGAAGAAGACTAAAGTTGGCATTTTTAGAGGCCCAGTAGTTGTAGGCTAGGTCTACCGTCTTCACCCGAATAGAACGCCCGGTAATTATGCCCGTATCTGGACTGAAAAATGCATCGAATACGGCTAGCGTTCTATTCGGGTGAAGACGGTAGGCGGGTACCATTCCAACCAGTCTGAGTCTAGGGCCTGTATGGGCAACATCAGAGTCTACAATTATGGTTCCCTCCGAAAGGGAGGAGGTGCCGGTTGATTGGAGGCAGCACGGCCTGGGAAGTCGCCGCCCAAGAGGTAAGTAGTCCGCTACATCTCCAGGAGGAGCAAAGTGCCCCACCTCATTCTTCGGTGTGCAAGTTTGGCGACGCGCTGCTTGGAGCGTTGGTTGAAGGAGCACTGGGCATTACAGCGCTGCTAGGAGGAAGGAGACCGGGAGCTCCCACCTCGGCTATGGTGGAACTCTACCAGTAGGAGGAGGAGGAAGAAGAGGGCTAGGAGGGCGAGTGGCGAAGTACCTACCTGGCCATGGTGGGCACCATCTTCATCACCTTGTTAGGTGCTGCATCAAGAACGCCCCAGTCACCGCAGTCGGGGTTGCGCCGCACCAACTTCAAGTTGAAGAAGGCTTCAAGGCAGAGTCAAGCATGGCGGCCTGCACAGCAGTGAGCACTGAGCATAGCTGCTTTGTGTTGTCCTTTGCACAGCAGGGCGAGGCCCTAGTAGTCCCCCAGAGCCTTGGCCTACATGAAGAGGAGGAAGAAGGGTGGCCATGGCTATGGTGGACCTCATGTGATGCCTGCAGTAGAAGAGGGATTCGGACATTGATCCTGGTTCAGCTATTCGACATTATTATTTCTTGTTTGAATAAGAGGGGAGGAGAAAAGAAGGAGGAGAGCGGTTGGTGAGAAGAAGGGAATTCTCATTGGTCTTTGCTGGTATACATCTTCTTCTTCTTCTTCTTCTTCTTCTTCTTCTTCTTCTTTCTTTCATCTTCTTCTTCTTCTTCTTCTTCTTCTTCTTCTTTCCCTCTCTCTCCTCTCAAGTTCATTCATTTCTTTTTGCAATTGGATGACATTGTACTTTCTCATGAATGTGTACTTCGAAATTGGCCAGCATCGTAACAATTTTTTATTATTATTATTTTAGTTTTATTTTAAATTTGGTAAAGGTACTAAAGAATTTCGATTTGACCCTGAGGCAAAAGTTTATTTTTCGGCATAACTTTTTCTTTTTTCAGATTTGTAAACATCTTTTGGATTTATTTATTTTTTTGACGGGGACCTTCTTTGGTCCTTGCACGGCCGGGCCGCCCGGGCAAACCAGGTGACCCGGGCGGTCCGGCCGGTAGCCTAGTGAATGAATCATCAGATAGACTGTCAAACACAGACAACACAGCAAGACAGAGAGAGTCAGATTAGGCAATCTCAGCAAATCGGGCCAGCAGACAGCATTTTGAATTCTCAGAAAGACCCAGAAATCTCGGACTGCATCTGTGTGTTCAGTGCACCACCGAGTACCTACCTGATTTCACTCTCCTTCTTCGTGCCCACAGTCCGCTTGTCTGACTCCTCCCTTTTCTTAATCTGCGCACATCAATCAATCAACCAACCAACCAATCAATCAATCAATCAATCAATCAATCAATCAATCAATCAATTAAAGCCATCCAATTCAAATTTTAATCCATGCTGAAAACTTTAAGCACACCATAGCCAACAGACACATTCACAAACCCGAATATCCAAATAGCGCTGTTGTCAGCCAAAAATGCTGCATTTTTTTTAATCTGCAATTGTCGCCAAGGACGACTGCAGTCTCGGAGCGAAAACCCTACTAGCCAAGTAGTGCTGTAGTCAGCCAAATAGCCAATATAGGCAATATAGCCAAATGTAGCCAATGTAGCCAATGTAGCCAATATAGCCAAATAGCCAACTAGCCAAAATAGCCAAAATAGCCAAAATAGCCAACATAGCCAACATAGCCAAGAGAAATTGTTGTCAAGGACGATTGCAGTCTATCCTGCCAGCCCTATGTGGCTGAATGGTACACGACAACACACCCATCGCTCTGTGGATGAACATGAGTTCGAACCCTGATCCAATCAAATGGATAGGACGATTGTTGTCAAGGGGCTATCTCCCTTGCGGAAAGCAAAAAAAGAAAGAAAAAGCATGACTGCGTTCTGTCTGCGCTGGAAGTCTTGTCTGGCTGCGTCGGAGAGGTTGGTGCTGTAAAATTGGTCAGGTATAAAATTGGCGGCAGGGTAACGCACAAGCTAAGGCAGGTATTTTTTAATAATAATTTGTGCAATTTGCTTTTTAACTGTGTTAAACTATGGAGCGTCTGGTGGCCTGGCCTTCGTCTGGCAGGGGTCCCCGACGGCCCGGCCGGCTGGGTGCCCCGGTTTGGGGCCAGATGAGCCCAGCGCAATTTCGCGCGCGGGGGGGGGGGGGGGTCGTTTTTCGGCTAGTGGTCGCCTCCCCAGCCTCCAGCAACACAAGTTTTTTTTTTGTTTTTGATCTACGACCAGTTTTAGGGGGCAGGGAAGGTCTTCTTCGGCGACTGATCCCAGTCGCCCGATCTGCAAAGATCAGTGGCTGAGATCAGCCGCCAAGAAATGGTTTCCCCTCTGGCGGGCTACGACGCCGCGTTTGAATTCGGACGCGGTATTCCCCTTTGCGAAGCCCGTTCACAACCACACAGACTTCTTCTTCTTCTTCTTCTTCTTCTTCTTCTTCTTCCGATATTTTTACTTTCTTTTTTCCCTAGCTGTTGGTCTTGCATCCTCTACTTCCATGACATTATGGCGGGCAGTGGCAGCGGCGTCGGCGGGGGGAGGGGCGGGTCTGGAAGGACGAGAGCAGACAAAGGATGTGGCGTCTTCTTCTTCTTCTTCCTTCCCCTCCTCTAACCCCTCCCCTCAGCGGACTGGAT